CAATGTCGGACTATCATCTTCGTCGGGTTATTCAAATGTGCCTGACTTACGATATGATTTGCTGCATTCATTTATTTTGTTTTATTTTTGGCTGAAAACACTGACATATAATCACCTCAAGTTATTGAACTGTAGGCAAACAATTGCCTTTTTTAAAACCAAGTTCACTATTCACTCCATTTTGGTCTCCACCAACTCTTGAGGGAAATATCTGTCTCCTTAGCTGCAAAATGCCTCACTCTGTTTACTAGGCAGCCACTAATTAGTTAGATGATAATTAATGTGGTTTGTCACCTTGACGGCCTTAGCTATGTTTCACGCTTTCCAAATGAATAATTCACCCACTACTTGTACGCATGGACTAAAACCAGGTATTACAAAAACATGAATTGATAATAAAAAAAGTGTCTCGATGAAGACTTATTATTTTGATGACCTGGTCGTGAATCTCATCTCTCTCTCATCCCCCACCAAATAAACTGCCATTAATCTTTGTTGGCTAGGTATCTCAATAACTTGTTAACAGAGATTTGGTGCAGAGTTAGGCCATGGGTCATGGAACAATTTGTTTTGTTGTGGACTTTTCTAAAGGATTTCTAACATTGCATATTTTATAAAGTTTTTGCTATTTAATCATGAACTACTGCAGACATGACATAGCATACTGATGCCTTTTTTAATCTAGATCCAAATCTGTACAGCCTACTGGTTCAAGAATTTTAACATTTTGTATCATTAAATGAACAAATCGGGCAACCTTGTCAGAGGTATATAATTTATCAAATGATATCTCCTTTTCTTGTGCTTACTATCTTTAAATTAACAATAATTATCACCCTCTGTCAACTGTCAACACTTCCATACCCCTTCCCTGTCTGTCTACCTGATTCCCTGAATTTGTCCCAGTCACCTTGCATTCACACTGGCAGGTTTTCTGAGCCATGGAATTGTCCCACAATTGGTTGAACTGTGCTCATTCATCCTAAATTTAGCCCACTCTCGTGATCCCTTGCCATGGCTGTGGGAAACACTGCATACTTTCCCCCTTCTGCTCCCGGTCCAGTGAGGACCTGGCCTGGGCCATCCTGTCAAGTGCTCGATTGTAACTCACAAGAACAGGCCCTGTGTTTGGTGTGTAGGTGTCCTTCCTCTGCCTCTCAGGGGCGAAAAAGTATGTTTCCTGCTCTTCTCTCTCTCACACACACCGATAAATTAAATAAAACAGCTCTTTATCCTCGACCTGAAACAATGGGCTCCCTCATTCAGTTGAGTTACAGTACGTTCACAGAACACCTCAAGGGCAAACAGGCTGAGCTAGTGAGCTGCCTATTTGGTAATTTATCCTCGAGGATGGCATACCGATAATGCCTAGTTGTGGTCTAGACATGTGTTTCCATCAAACACCCCACTTAGAGGTTAGAGATTCCCAATTCAATGACCTTCCTTTTAAGAGTTTTGACCACTGCTACTGTATAATTTTCTACGCTGAACATAACATGCTGTTTGCCGAAAGCCTGCTGCTAGCATCCGTAAAGCTATTTCCAAACGGACTGAACATCGACCTTGAGACTGACTCTCTCAGCAAAACAGACTTGTATCATTTGTTGTTTCTTCAAAGTTACACTTAACACCGAAAAGGGAACGTTGGAGAGATGTAACGTTAAAATGTCCCTAAACTAAATATTCAGTTGCTGTAGGGATGCTCGTATAAAGGCAGACTTGGAAAAAGACAAGAGAAGGCTTGTGTTCACGCACGCGGGCAGAATACAAACCAAAGGCCCTCGTAAAAAGCATGAGTCAGAGCGCATCCTTCTTTCAGATGGTGAGCCATGCCACAGCTTTATATATACTAACTTCGCTGTGGGCCCAAGGACACCCAGGGCACAGTCGCCCACTCCTCAGAGGTTCCTGAAACATGCTTACGAAGGCTTCTTTGCAATAGGTGAACCTGAAGAAACATGTTTCATTCCCTCCATCTGCATCATCAATGTCATCAGCATCAACACCATGAATCTTAATCATCAACGCCACTAGTATTGCTGTCATCCTCATCACCATAATCCCTGTCATATCGTCTTCACTGTCCTCCTCTGCCTCATTATCAGCACCGCAAGCATCATCATCATCATCATCATCATCCTCCTCCTCATTACTCCTTTCCTCTCTGGCCCTCCGGCTGACCTGTTCCTCTCCCTGTCACGATTTCCTTACTTCTGATGAGAAACTTTGGCGGCCTACTTTTGGCAGAAGGACACGGTTTGACTCACTAGTCGGGTCTGGATGAGACAAAACCACATCAGTGCTCACCAGAGCAGCCAGGAAGAGCCAGTCACATCCTGACAAGCAGGATGAACTGTTCTTTAATGGACAAACAGAAAAGAACAGATGGGGGTGGGCAGAAAATAATTATGTAAGGGTATGGAGAAGGATAATAGAAAATGCATGTAAGTGTTTTTAGTTTTTAGGTGACATATTGTTGTGGCAGGTGTGTGTGTGCGTGTACAAGCCTCTGTCTGTCTGGATTCACTTTTCTCTTCCTTTTTCCCTGCCTGTAATTGAGGTATGTCGATTGTTAGCCAGTAACAAAAAAAAAAAGAAGAATCAAACCTCCATTCCAGCAGGGCAGCTTTCATCTGCCAAACAAATAAAAATAATGACATGGCGATGACAAAGGATGGCAGAGAAAAAGTTGCTACTTTCTCCCTAAACAAGTGTGACAACACGAGATCCAACTCGCTCTTTACAGAACAAATGTGCACAGACAAAATGGATCCCCACCGTGCGGTTCTAGCAACATTTTGCATTAATATATTCTTTCTATTAGCCGCACATGACTTCATTTTCACAGAGGGCCACTAAATAGCACTAATATGGCTCCTTATTTTTATTATAATACATTCTCTACACGGCTGGCTTCACACTGGCAAAAGCACTTTGGAACTAAAGGACATGTGACTGGATCCGTTCAAATTCATAATTTTCCAGGAAGTGCTGGCAGAAGGTAAAGCTTTTTTAGTATGATACAAAAAGACACAAAAAGAACTGGTCAGTGCTACATCCAGCAGACCAAATGCAGAACCTAAAGAGTTGGTTTTCAGAAGAAAGCCTTAACAAAGTCAGTCAAAGCAACATCTGTGGCCCCTCTCATTCATCTCGCCAGCCCAGAACCAGGGCCATTATGTTTCTAGGAAGACAGCCTGTTATGGTTATTAGTAGGAAACAGTCTTGAAATCCCCAGCAGTCTTTGCCAAAGCTTTGGTTAAAGCACTCTCCAACCGTTTCAGAGCGGCCATCCATGTTTCTCTTCCCCAGGGTTAGCATGGCTGCTGAGAGCAGCAGGGTCTCTACACCACATAAATGTTTGGACAGGAGAGGCTCCAGGTTTCTCTGAAAACAATGGGATCAAACAGGACCATCAAAGGAATCTAGCAAAATCAAAGGCTGGCAGAGAGAACTTCACTTTCAGTCCATATACCGACAGAGATAGAGGATTACTGAGTATTAGAAAGCTGGTCTGTCAGCATTGCCAGTGGTAGTTTTATTCATGAGTGTCACAGTGCAAATGGAAACATCAAAGAACCAGGCAAGTAAGAAGTGAGCAGTGAAGTGCTGGCGGTGATATAGTGCATTGTTTTAAAAGAGATATCTGCTAAATCCTAGAAATATGTAGCAAGGGATTTTCACAATAGAACTCACTTAACAGCAGCCAGGCCAAACTTTGGCCATGTGAGAGCCGCTTTCTTTGACAACTCAATAAAGCGCAGACCAAGTTGGGTGACCTTTGCCCCGTGCCATCTGACAAAGCTAACAAAATCAATCTTGCAGCTTCTGACTGGGAGTGATTTTGTGCCAAGCCATCCATGAACCATTAAGCTTCATTAGTTTCCTCCCAAGCAATTTGAGGAACACGCTTATGCACGAGAGGCAGAATAACAGGAGGAAGAAATGTATCCACTCCACTCACCTACATGTCTCTGACTTCTCCAGAATGGAGGAACATTCAGACATACTTTGCATGCTTTCCTGTATTTATTATTCTACCTCTGTCTTTTTATTCCACATTGGCAGTATATCAGTTGAAGGGGGGAGTCTATTTCCACCTCACACTGCCCCACTGGTTATCAATGGGACCTTTCAGAAAGGACCTTTCCTCCACTGATTGGGAATTTTTTCCTGTTGGACTAGCACACTGGAGCTATTGAGATGTGTCCCCTGTAACTTTCTCACTATGGCCCCTTCATATTTACTAGTGACCCAGAGACCTCTGGTCCAATATGCATATGGTATCAGCTTGCAGCAGGCCAGGGGTGCAAGGGGCACAAGCATTCTCTCAGTATGGAATAGTCAATCTGAGAGACTGAGGGCAGGGTCCCGCTCCGTTCCAAAATAAATAGAGTCCAGCAAAGAGAACTCGATACTTTAAACATGAGAATAAAGCATCCAAGTCAAGTCAAGAAAACAGAAAAAGACCATCTTCCATATACGACTATATCTAACAAACAGAGCAGGCTGCAGTAGAGAATCTAACTGTGACCCAATATACAGCACGGTACATTAAATTGACTTCCCTGTGGATTTCTTGCTTGTACTATAAAAAAGGCCTGTCAGCTGCCTGACGTTTTGAGGGTAAGGCAGAGATGAGATGAGAGAGAGGAAGAAGAGGGGAGAAGGAAGGAGGGGAAGAGATATAGAGAGAGCAGAGAGAGATGCCGTGCAGTGATACATCTCTACGAGGCTAAGGGATACAAACCATGTCTCCCCTGCTCCCTGACCAATTACTAACACACACATTGATTCATTGAGGCGACGAGGTGTGGAGAACACGGGCATAGACACAGCGGCAGTAAACAGTCATGAGGCTTGCACATTAATCTATAGAAAACAATGCTGCAAGTTCGCAGGGTTGACAAAACACATCAGGAGCAATGGAATTAGGGATTTCGACACAAACATGCCCTGCATGGTGGATGCGGGGGAGCACATGAGTGATGGATGATTACCTGTAGGTCGAAGAATTTGCTGTATCTTCTGTAGATGATGTGGGAGGTGTTGTCAGAGTAGGTGACATTGATGAGATATACCTGCCAAGAGAAGAAAGACAAAGTAAAAACTTGGGTCACAACTTGTTCTTTTGCATAAATCTAATCTCTTCAGCACTCGTTGAAACAGTTGATGCCAATAAATTGATTGCAATGGCATACACATGTGCTCGCGGTATCAACAAACTCACAGGCAACATGCTCACACAGCCCAAAACCAATTCCCCCAACATGAACGTTCAATGACACGCACTCATAAATCTGTCAGTGGTTGACACTAGTATGGTGGATAGAGACAGCATCCCTCCTTTGTCAGCACACTGACCTGCTGGCCTTTACCCTTGACTGAAGCAGTGCTGCAGCCCAGAGAGGCCTGATAAGATTGGGCGAGATTCCATTTATCCGTCAAGAGGAGGTAAGTGGTGCCGCCATCATCTCTAATCTAATGAAACATAGATAACCAAGGTAATATCCAGAGGCCAGGAATATTTCATCAGAGACGTTAAGAGCAGGTGGGATGTTCAGAAAAGGGCTCTGTATGTGAAATTACTCTGGATAAGTTGTTATATAACGTTAGGCTACAAGCTTTCGTAGGGGGAAATTATACTGAGCTACCACTTTATTGGGTACACCTCCATGATCTAATGCAACCCAACACAACTTCCTAAAGCTTACTTTGTTCTAATACTTTGTTTCCCTCATGGATGTAAACAGGGGTAGGAAAGATTTTAAAACCCCTTCATATAATGTGATCCAGTATAACATTAACACAACTACAAGAGGTCCTAGATGTCAAAATATGTATTTTGTTATTACCTTCCAAAACAACTCAGGTTAGCATTTTCTTATGTGACCTCTGAGGTTATCAGCAGGACAATATAATTTCTCAATGCCTTTCAAAATGCATAAAGACATGACTGTGAAAAATGCATTTTGTACTGTGCCATCTCTATGACTCTCAACGACTTCTGGTCAAGTCTCGGACAGCTAAAACTACTTGGTTATGGTTAGGGGGTGATCGTGATCATGGTGAGAAGAAGTGCTTGGTTAGAAAAAGATTATGGTCATGGTGAAAAAACAGCATTGACTGTAGGCATAAGACAGGATTAAAGTCAAACATTTTGTACCTCTCGTTGAATCGTTGCATTTTTGCGTTGTAATTCCATGCATGGCCACTAGACCGCGCTTCGGAAAAAAAGGATTCATGTGTTTAAGCATTTGAAAAGATACTGCTGTGTTTCTGAACATCATTGAGTGTCAACTAGAAGCCAATATCTGCGTAATCAAAACAGCATTGTGCAGGTGCACCAATAACCTGGCAACACTGGGTATTGTAGATTTAATTCTCGACTGACGTTCCCTCCTACTTTTTGAAATCAAGACCTTTATTAAGAATACAGAGACAAAGCCATCAATCCTGACATATTATTACAGATTATAGCCATTTTTCCCATTGTTGTTGCCAGATCACAACAGCCTATACAAAAAGCATTCATAGTGTTTCTGTATTTTTTGTACCCAGCACTTCATAACTGCATACATCTGACATGTACTCAATAAAGAGCAATAAAACAAGATGTTGTCACCCAGCCAAGACATTCTAGCTAAGTGGCCCAGACTCAGCGCAAATAGAAACCCACTTAGCATCAAGCCGCCATGAACACATGAAACGATTGACTTTGCTTCATGTATAGCATTCAGATTAAATACAGGCAATGTGTTTCCCTGGTGAGCAATTCCTGCTCCTTATTTCCAGCAGGCTCCATCTTTCTGACTGATCTTACACTGTCACTCCAATCCTCTGTACCTGCCAGGAGCCTCCAGAGCAGAGCCAAGATGAATGAGGTCGAGTGAAAGACCTTGACGTTGACGTACGAAGCGCAGCAGCTTGAAACAAAAGAGGTTCCACAACAAAGCCGAGGGTTAAAAGGCCTTGTTGCTGCTGGAAGGGGCTCAGCTACTACTGGCAAGGAGCCACCGCAGTGTGTTCACTCCCATGCGAACACTACTGCTACTGGCATACAGAAGCTGTGACTGTCACAATACACTGACAAACTTGTTCTTAGCACGTTAGGGTGTAACCACAGTGATCAGCTTTGACATATTACTATGAAAATGTGCTTCCTGGGGTACTGCCGAGTTATGTAGTCCAAAAAAATGGTTTCACTGTCAGCAATGTTTCCAAGTGACTTTGAGAGTTTTGCAGACTAACAAGGATTCACGAGTTAAGCAAATAGCTCTTTTTACTGCTCAATAACAAATTTTATTTCAGAAAACTTTAAGGGCAAACATGGAAAAGTGAGTTGTCTGGTTGCTCATGTGTCCTCAAGTCACGTGGGGCTTCATCCTAGCTTCTAAAGTTTTATGTAAAGGCTAGGCTTGACTTCACTGGAGCAAAGTCTCTTGATGTTGTTAGTGCATACCAGTCAACGCTGGTAGCAACTAAATGACAAGATATGCCTCAGAGTGAATGGAGGGGCTGCCCCAGCACTTGTCAGAGCTTGTTTGTGTATGTTGAAGTCTAACAATACATTTTTATATTCATTTTTATCCACACTAGAAGTGAGGCTCTATGGATGGCAATGTCGATCAGTTGGTCAGGTTGTCCACAAAATATCCCAACTGAATACATTGCCATGAAATTTAGTACGCACATTCATGGTCCCCCATGGATGAGTCCTGCTGATTTTGGCGATCCCCTGACTTTTCCTGTTTTGTTACGTGTCTCAACAACTATTAGAAAGGATCGCCATGAAATTTGGTACGGATGTCCATGGAGCTCAGAGGATGAGTCCTAATGACTTTGGTGATCCCCAAGTTTTTAACTGGCACTACCAATTGGTCAAAGTTATGACTTATTTAGCGAAACATCTAAAAGATAGATTGGCACACACTTTTGTACAGACAATGATTTAGCGCCATCATCAGGTCAAAACTTTGTTTGACCAAATACCTGTGAAACTACTGACTTTCCATCATCCTCAGCTGCACTGTATGTTTAGTGCTAATTAGCAAACGCTAGCATGCTAACATGCTAAACTAAGAATATTAACATGGTATACATTATAACTGCCAAACATTAGCATGTTAGCATTGTCATTGTGCACATGTTAGCATTTAGCTCAACACTCATTACAGCCTCTCAGAGCCACTAGCATGACAGTAAACCCTTGTTCGAATATTTCTTTGCCATTTCCTTACTGCAATTTCTTGTAACTTCAGCCAACACATACGCTGCTACAGATACACCTGCTATAGGCTATATTGGCCTGGTCGAGTTATTGGTCAGGCTCTCGTGTATATATATACACACATCAGTCACAAATATGTGTGGATCGTACCCCAAAGTCTACTATGTGGCTGTGTGTTTGTGCTCTGACCTCAACAGTATGTCACCGTATCATCTGCCCATCATACCTCTGGGCCACTAAATTCGACTCAGAAGCAAGTCTGTGCTGAGCTGAGGTATAAGATATGAACCAGGCTGGAAGAAGTGGAAGATCCAAACCCCAGAAGCAGATGGGTATGTGATGGCAGCCACGGTGGAAAACACAACTAACACCAATCCGTGGTCAGCCTGTGCCCAAAATATCAAGCTTAAACCTAATGCCCCCCCACCCCAGTCCTCAAAATAGACTCTATTCACTCAACACAGCGAGTAAATCACAACAGTCTGGACTGCTGCCTCTCCGGTTAGGCTAAATTAAAAAACAACATCTAGCAGTAAACATCTTATTTGGCCATAATGAAATCTAATTATTTATTTTTCACATTGCATGGAAGCTGCTTTTTTTTCACCTTTTCATGAGGAATGAGACACATTCCTGCAACAACTAAAATAAGCCGACAGAGGCTGACTCAGAGCTCAAGTACATCCAGTCGTGAGTGCTAAGTACAGCCAGAAAACCCTCAATCAAGGATTTGTGGAACACAAATGTAACACTTTAACCCTCAATTTAGCATAAAATGGCACTATATAAGCATTCAATAAATTGGTTATAACACACTTGTTGTAAGCAACTTTATAGACATTTTAAGTGGTTATTAATGAACAGTATTTGTCAACAATTATTACTTCTCCCAAGCAGACATATTTTATATTATTACAACTTATTATATTGTATACTGTTTATACACCAGCATCCACTTGTGAGTGCCCACATGAGAAGTTTTAGTTGTTGACAAAAACATTAATAAACACTTAAATCAACTCACACCTACATTATAGTGTTTATTAAATGTTTATATATTAATAAATGTTAAAGTAAATTTTTACCAACTAAAGATTTTTTGCAAGCATCAACAACACTAACAACAATCCACCAATAGACCGTCCACATTCTTGTCGGGTTTTAGAGCCAAACAAATCAAGATTAAAAAGTCGATCATCTTGATTGCTGCAAGACCTCACTGCACAGCAGGCCTGTCTGGACCAATAAGGCATTGCTGCAATTCCAAAATAAAGGCTGAAATTTGGGCGAGGAAGCAACATAAAAGCTCACGTGGAGAATCTGCATGATCTCTTGGTTTGTAACACTCAGCTGTTAATAACCACGCCTAGATTTGGAAACAGGAAGGTGTTGGAAACTAAAATGGGTATCGAGGGATTATGAAACAATGAGGAGGTTGAACCATAACTCACTGTAGATGACTGTAGAGAGCCTAACATTAAGATTGACCAGAAGGACTGTTATTGTAGTGCATTGCTGCTACTGAAAAAAAGCAATTCCCTTAATGAACAATATCTATCAATCAAGAGGCATTCTATAATTCAGAGAAAAAAACAAGAGCCTTTTCTTGATCACAGATTAGTCGAGTTTTTTCGTCAGACTCCACTGCAGTCACGTGTCAATATTTTCTGACAAGTCAACTTTCTTTTCAAAGGAGTCTAAAAATTGATTCGTAAACGAGGGTGGAAAAACAACTCCAAGAAGGCTTTGGGGGCTTGGATGTCCCAGATAGCAAGAAAAGACCTGTTATTCCCACAGAGGATGCGGGACTTGAAAACAAAAGTTTTATTCATTCTCAGAAGCAAAGAGAGA